TATATATATATTAGACCACAATATCGAATATATGTGTAGTTAGATACACACTTACTTACGCGCGTATATTATATTTTATTATTATTTTATAATACATAAATATATAATTTTTTTTTAGTTTCGCTATCCCATATAATATAATATGGATATATGCACACACCTAACTATGTCTATATTAAAATATTATAATACAATATTCTTYTTGCGGGGCGTGGCTCGGCGACGCGGGGACACACGCAAACCCCTGTTAACCGTAACGAACGAACATCATAATAACAAAGCATTAAAATCGAGTTCGGTTGAGTAGTAATTGATTAACACAGCCGCCGCCGGTGGAAGTGTGCGCGGTGGGAGCGGCGGCGGTGCCTGTGGGCGGGCACGGCCGACCGTCCAATCTGGGACCCGATGGGCGGCGCCCTCGGCCGGCGCGCGGGTTCAGCCCTCCGCTCGGCCCGTGACTCTGGGCCTGAGGTGTGTGTCGCCGCACACCACACGCATTCATTTATCGTCCGTCGTTTTTTTCGGTCACATCCATCCACCGGTCGTCTGCCGCGGACCACTTTTCGATCTCGCTTATCATCATTATATTATTATAATACGGTTCGTTGTTGTCGGTTGTACGTCGTGCGCATATATTATATAAAACGTCGTCGTCGTCGTGCGTATATCGTGATTCACATTAGTGTGTACCTATATTAGTGTTGCACTACTATATTGGTACGCGATTAAAACGATTTTTATTTTTGTGATTTTCATACATCGCGTCAGCACTTATTATACGACTTTGTAAGTCGACGTTACGCGTCATTGTAATAGGTACCTGAATTATATACCTATTTAGTAATTTAATATACATATATTATATAAAGTTAAATAAAAAACGCGCGTCTATATATAATATATATATACCTATCGCCGTTAAATCTGTATAAGAATTATTGTTATTATGTACTGGTCGGCGAACGCAAACGTTTCGTAGCCTGGATCCGCTGCGTGGGACAGACGGCGACCTATAACCTATAGCGTCGCTGCACTCGTCACCGTCSTCGAACGGTGACTTTTTGAAAATCGTCAGGTGTGCAAAGCATTCACCACGACGGCATCGCCGGGTGCACAGAGCGGGACGACCAGCGAGGCTGAGGACTCGTCCAGGTTAGTACATTTTTATATCTAATGTATATATACCTATAATAATACATATTAAATAGGTATACCTATACATATATAGATTATAGATACACAATATTTAGATACATTATATACACCCCATATACTTTATAATATAAAAATATATGACACTCTCACATCTTACTTGCATACTTTACAAGGTATATATTATGTGTATTTATATATTGGCTGCAGGTTTTCCTAGTTGGTTCTTAAATATACCTTATTCTTGCGTTAAATATATACATATGTTTAGGTACCTATATAATTAATTCGCACCGAATAAGCTATATTCACCATGTACCATCTAAATTTATATACCGTTATAATTTTAAATTCCACTTTTATTAATTATTCAACAAATAT